TTTTGCCTTGAATCTGTTTTAAATGTAACAAGTTTATCAATTTGTAATGTTTCAAAGTCCTCAAGCCACCACAAAGAGAAAAATGAAAGTGTGTGTAGTTGTGTGTGGGCACCATGTAGTTTTGCAGACCAACTGCTATTCACACATACACACACTGACATACAAGTGCAGATCACATCAAAGTGTAATGACACGCTGCCTTCTCCTCCCCAGCTGTCTCCGTGCTGCTCTCCAACAGCGGCCTGATGGACCAGCTGCAGACAGTCCTCTCTTCCTCCTCCTCCTCCTCCTCCTCCTCTTCCTTATTTACTCCATCAACCTGTCCTCCCTCAGCCCTGCTGTGCTGCAGCCACCTCCTCCTGTCCTCCCTCGTTACCTTGCAGCACGTTCACTCGTCTCAGGTACGCCACAGCTCTGCTTTGCTCTTATCACAACTTCTGCAATGAATTTATCAAAGTCGAGGGCAAATCACAGGACTTACCGTGAAATAGAGCATGGCTTCAGATCATCTTCTGGACTGGACGTCTAACTGCATTTTGTTTTCTCAGTACTTGTTCTCTTTGCAATGACAATAAAGTGGAATCTAATCTAAAACATCATGTCGGGGGAGATTTCAATGGAAAGTACAACTCACGGATGTTTAAAGAGAACTGGATACACTGTTGGAGACGAGGCACACACGTTACAAAGGCCCAATACACTTCCATTAGGAGAAACTTGCGGCAGTTTAAAAAACAATGCAATAAAACCTACCTACCTTACCTCAAGTGTACGTTTTATTGGCTTTTTTTTTTAAACAATGTGAACACATGAATCCTTCCTATATTATTTCAAATCTGCTGTAAGATAGCTACAGTAGCTAACGTAGATTACCTAGTCATTTCAAATATAATGACAAAACACTTATAATTTTGAAACAGACTAACTCTGCATGTGCACTTTAGTTTCTCCTAAGCCCCGCCCCCACATAGTCACAAATTACCCAAAATTAATGTAAAGAGAAAATAACACTCTTTTAGTGCAATTTACAACTTGTAGGACCTAATGATTTAAATAAGGGCTTTTCAATTTTCCGTACTGGGTAGTTGTTTAACCTAAACGCTGTTTTACAGACTTGTCTTTCCCAATATAAATCAACAAGAAAAAAAAAATGTTTGGGCCCAATGATGTCATTTAAAGGTGGGGTAGGTAAGAATGGAGAAACCAGCTCGAGTGTGCTAGAATTTGAAAGTAAGCAGCGGGAAAAAATCTGCCCCTTCCTTCAGACTTCCTCACAGAGCCCCTCCCCCAACACACACGAACGCGCACATGACCAATGAGGGCACGAGATAAGTTTGTGCACAGATGGAAGGCTGACAGGCAGGTAGGCCATCCAGTTACTTTAGCCGGGCCGGCGCAGATGATTGGCCGTGCTTTTTACAGCGCCACGGCTTCCACAGATGACATTTGTTTATGTATTTATTGTCAAAGTATTTCATTTATTCATTGCTATCGGGATGTTAAGAGCATTCCATGGAATATAACAACAAGTGTTTCTGAAGTGAATTACCTACCCCACCTTTAACTATCAGAGAAGTTGTCGCACCACCGTTTGGCCACTTGCTTCAGCGCCTGGTTCTCTTCACGGGGGCCTAATGAAACTAGTTAGCATGGGAAATCTAAATAAAGTAAGACATCACCAAGGCATGTTTTTCGTTATATTAAAAATACGCTATTTTTAATATAACAGTCCCGTCTAGAGTCATTATGCAAGGTCAGGCTGTAACTCTTAACACAAAGAATTTCCCTCAGCTCCAGGCTTTATATTATCATATTAAATAAAACCTGATAAAAACTATTTGTAAAACAATCCAGGAGGCCTGTCTGGCTCATAACATTTTAATTAAGGCATGCTGCTGCCAACATGAAATTAAGCGCTGTTTAATCTCTGTTCTGCAGAGAGATTCCCAACAGAAACACTGATTAAGATTCTTGTTATTCTCCATTACTTAAGGTCCAAAAGAGCATCAGTTGGAGTCTGGACGAAGCTGTGCAGCGACTCCTCGTTCAGAAACGAAACATGGACAATCTCTCGCTGGGTAACACACTCAGGATTTCATTTGATGATTGTTTTTGTAAGACTTGAAAGTGTGTGTAACCTGAAAAGTGATTTTCCCTTATCTAATCTGTGTGTGCTCAGCTCATGTTTTCTCCCATTACCTGTGTTGTGCTTTCCTCTTAATGTCTTTTTAGCTTCAAGTTCTCGTTATTTTCTCTATTACAGCGAGGGTAGTGATGGTTACTAGAGCTGGGGGGAAACGATTATTTTGAAAACGATTAATCGGGCGATTATTTTATCGATTAGTCGACTAATCTAACGATTATTTTTCTGTTGTTCGATTAATAAAAAACGTAATGTATCTCAAATAAATAATAGTTTTTTTTCAATGAGCGCCCCAAAAAACAACACAGGCCGTTAGCTCTTAGCACTCAGAGCTCACAGCTCCTCATATCTGTTCAGAAACTTGACAAAAGTTAAACAAGTACAAACCACAGACTGCCTGTGTCATGGCGAATACAGTCGCTGGTTTGTTTATGTCTGTATAGGCCGTTGTTGTGAGTGTGGACGGTCGGAGCATATATAACGTTAGCTTAGCCAAGCTCCATTTAGAAAGCACGCATTTAAAAAAAGGGTTTTTCGCCTGCCGTCTGTCTGCAGACTTGTCAAAGCATTAATTCATGGTTTTTACTAACCGGTATCAGTATGTTGTTACTTCGGCATCATTTTGAAACGTGTATTACAATTAAATCACGGGTCAAATATGTTCATCTTGTTGTAGTTGTAGCCCCCTGCCAGCGATTCTCTCTCTAGTTTAGCATACTCAGCCCGACTCAGCCTGGTTGTTCCTGGCCCTAGAACCACGATTTAGAAAAAAGAAAAAAAAAAGGTGAAAAAGTAGCCCCGGGCCAAAACTAGGCCAAGTGGAAACGCAACCAAAAACGGGCCCCGCACGGCTCGGCACGCTTAAAGCGAGCTACCCGCTGCAGTGGAAACGCGCCATATGCTGACTAACGTTAGTCTAATGTTATGTCGCCATGGTGCAGTTAGTTCGTTCCGGGTTAGTAGTGGCTAGATAGCGGTTTACTGCAGACGTAAACTAGCTACCATTCCAGCCAACATTAAATGCTGACAAACGTTAACTAACACACAGCTGGCGCCGCTAGCTAGGTAGCTAACATTAACTACTAACCAACCAAGCACGAACAACCGCACGGAGAGCTATAAGATAGTTAGCACTACCGAAGTGCACAGAACTCAAGCTGCACAACACACTACACAAACGTGGAATTAATTTAGCCAAAGTTAGTACTTACTTATCATTGCTCCCTTCACGAGAGACAAGGGGGTGCCTCCGCTTTAAATGCTCCAACATAGCTGTTGTGCTAGTGTGGTATGCCAACTCCATTTGGCAAAGACTGCAAATAACAATGCCTTTGCGTTTTGGACTACATTTAAAGTATTCCCATGCTTTTGAAGACCTAGGGCGAGATGTTTTTGTTTGGGGGCTTCGTGCGCAATCCTGTGAGGAGGAGGTGGTAGCCGTTTCAGTCTCCATTGTGTTTGAAGTGTGATTGCGAACTGCTTGTTGCTTTGGTTGACCCACGTGTGTGTGGCGATGCGTCGACGAGGAAATCTGTCGTCGACGAGATTTTGAAGTCGACGCGTCGCTACAGCACTAATGGTTACATTACATTGCATTTAGCTGACACTTTTATCCAAAGCCACTTACAATAAGTGCATTCGACCAAGAAGATACAACCTTGAAGAAAACAGAATCATATAAGTACATCAGGTTTCATAGAGCCAAACATTTTAAGTGCTACTCAACTGGCAAGCAAGTGCTTTGTTAGTATATAAGTGCTTTTTATTTTGTTTTTGTTTGTTAGTAATTTTATTGCTCGAGTCGAAAGAGATGAGTTTTCAGTCTGCGCCAGAAGATGAATAAGCTTTCTGATGTCAATGGGGAGCTCATTCCACCATTTTGGTTCTGTCTCCAGTCAGTGTTATACATGGAGCTTGTGCCGATTCCTCCGCTTTCTTTATCGTTTTTCATTAACATGCGATTCATGGTTGATGTTCGATCAATTTACATTGGAAGTCATAACTGGGAGTGACGTAATCAGTAGCGCGGAAAAATATGGACGCTCGCAGGAAAGTAGTTTGTCTTGTTCACAGCTTTAGCACTCACCTCAGATTAGCCGCTGTTAGCAATACCGGTTGATAACTACGCTTTATTTTGTGAATGCAAACACCGAAGCAACGTATCCACAGATAGAAGTGAAGTTGATTTAATGACACAAATAACACAAAAGAGCTAAACATGTTATGTTATCAAAGTGTTCTCTTGATGTTCATCTTGCGGAGACTCCATTGTGGTGATGATCTTGGGTATGGTGAGGTATCTCTGAGTCAGACCTCATGGGGCTCAAATTTCCGACTGGGAACTCTGATACTCCTACTTCCCGGTACAACTGAAACGAACCATAACATCCACACTAGAATTACGGAAGCAACTTGATAGTGTGATTAATTTGCTTTTAACACGTCAAGGTTTCCAGATTAATCGAGATTGTTAACCTGTTAGCGTTGACAGTCCAATTTGTTAAATGTAAGCAGGTAGCGTCTGTCCCTGTTTCGTCCTCAGCGGAGCTAACCAAACCCTGGGATACATTTCTCACTCTCATTACATAAAGTGACCCACATCCCGCTGCAGCGCTCGGAGACAGATCATCCGGCTGCTCCATGTGTGTGTCTGTCAGCTGGATAAGTGGCCTGTCAGGCTGCTGTGATGTATCTCCTCTCCCCCTCTCTTCACCCCATCTCTCCTCCCTCTCTTCTGCTGCCGCTAATTGAGTCGTCCCTCCCTCGGAGAGCTGTAATCTCAGAGTATGTGGCATCGAGTGCAAGTCAGATGGCTGGCAGTTGGGATCCCTTTGGGTTTTAGCGATTTGTTTTGGTCTGTGTCTCTTTGTTTATCTCCATCTCCATCACTCTTTTGGTTCCTGGACCTTTCTTTAACCCCGTCCCTCACTTAGACTCTTTCTGTCACGTACCAGCACAAAAACGGCCCTCAATTCCTTTCAGCTGCTACCTCTGCATCTTCTATTTCAAAAACATAGTACACTCTGGTTCTCTTGTGGCCTTGCCCTTCACATGTGTTTGCTTTCTCCTTTTCTATGGAGCTAAATCAATCAAACAATTCTGAGATCTGTGAAAAGATTGGAAACACAAAGAGAATGATTTTGAACTCAAATATCAAAATATCTATTGGGAGAGTTTTTCTCTCTCCCTAAACCCTTCGTGATGTTAGGTTTTGCAGACCATTTACATGCACTAAAACCTATATACTTACATATTTAACATAGCCTTCAGTTAGAGCTTGCATGTTATGGTATTGGTTTGAATGTTTTATGTATTTGTATTGTCTTTTGTTGTATCTTATTTTATTTGTTTTATTTCTATCTTGTCTTATGTTGCTGTAACTCCATCATATACAATGTTGTTGTATGTTTTTAATCTGTAAAGCCCACTGAGACAAACGTGTTTTGTGATATTGGGCTATACAAATAAAGTTTGATTTGATAAAACACACTACAGCAGCGGTTTCCAACCTTAGGGCCGCGGCCTGCATTGCAAGCAGGCCGCCAAATAATTAGCCAAACATGATTTGGGTGGAAACAATTCATTATCAAGATCTTTTTATTTTATTTTAACCTCTTAAACTTTCTTGATCCTCCTTAGCAACGATCATTACAGTCCTTGACAGCGGTCTGTTCTACTGGATTAACAACGTGTCACATGTTCTGAATTGACCAATCAGAACTTTATTTACCCTCCGTATAGAGTGCCACAGTGACGCATCCTAAAACCCGGAAGTAAACTCCACGTTTTGTTCATTCGGATAATATCCACATGTCTACCCTACTTTTATAATTTTCTAATCATAAATCTATCTATCGACTTATTTTCCAAAATCCTATGGAGAAATTGCATTGGTTTTTGTCGAAGGAACCGGAAGTGGTAACATGCTAACTTACTTCCGGGTTTTAGGACGCGTCACTGTGGCACTCTATTGTTTATGGTTGAATGTGGGCTGCGAAACATTTTTACTATCTTAAGTGGGCCCTGAGTTGATTAGGTTGGGAACTGCTGCACTACAGGAAAGGAAAAACCCCTAAAAGCATAATAGAGTGAATCATTATGAATAATAATATTCAACATGAAAAGACCAATCACAACTTGAACTTTCAGATCAAAACTTTACTAAACCAGATTTATCTCCATACTCTTTGTTTGCCCTCCTGACCCCCCTCCTCTCTTTGCTCTCTCTGCAGTCAGCCTCCTGAGGTTGCTGCAGGCTCTCCTTGATGCTGACCTGGAATCAGAAGTGGTGTCTCTGACCAGCGGTCCTAGCCTGGTGGGGCCTCGTCCCCTGGGGGTGGAAGACGGGTCTTTGTACCCTCTCGGCACCAGAGGAGCTCAGTGCCTCTCCACGGCTCTCAGCGGACTTCTTCTGCAGGTATTTATCCATCGAGGGGGATTTATCCATGAGTCGGGGTTTGTGTGTACTGTATTTGAAGGTAATCACAAAACCTTCGGGTGTAAAAAAGAAACCTGAAGATATTTGGGTCAACATAACATAGATTATTATTATTATTGGTTGTGTTGTTGAGTTCGAAGGCGACATTAATGCATTTTGTGATTTTTCTCTCATGTATGTATACTGTCGATGGAAATGCTCTAGTGAAGTACAAGTACTGTAATGAAGTACAACTTTGAGGTACATGTACTTTTCACTTTATGCTACTTCATACGACATTTTGACGCAAATATTGTACTTTTTACTCCACTAAATGTATGTATTAGCTTTAGTTAGTAACTACTTTGCAGATTAAGATTGATAAAACAGAATCCATACTATAAATGTTAATATACAACTAATAATGATACATTATTAAAGGTTAAGCTACCAAATCATTATATAGAGGAGACATTTAAATCAACCGTAACTCTCCAGCTACAACATTAAAGTGACACAGATTCATGCATCACTAAATATAATACAATAATTAAGGTACTTTTAGTATATTTTGGTGCTAATACTTTTGCATATTTTCTCAAGTAAACATTTCAATGCAGCATTTTTACTCGTCCAATATTTTTTATATGTGAGTACTTCTTCCACTTCAGTACTGAAAGACATTCCCCAAATGGAAAGTTAATTTTTTCCTGACAAGCTGCGTATATCCATTAGCAAGACTCCACTCTAATTCAAACAAAGGGTGACAAGAGACGATGCATCATTTTACCGTTGTAAGGCAGAATTTCATATGATAAAAAAAGGATTGCAGGCAAGAAAAAGGCGTTGTCGCAACCGGTCTAAAATCGAGAGTCAATAAGACAGGTCTTTGTAAAACTGGCCTGTGAGACGGCAGAAAACAAGACCATCTGGTGAAGACTTGAGGGGGACTGAAACAAAATTGCATCCCGACATGGCTTGATTGTGCTGGTGATTGTTTGCAGGTGATCACTCGGGCAAAGAGCTATTGAAAAACACACCAACAGAGCAGGAGGACAGGCTGTGTTTCTAATACATCTCCTAAAATAGATATATGAACAAAATATTTGCTCTTCTAGCTAACAGTTAAAATGCACTTTGTGATGTATTTTATACATAAGTATGTGTCCCCGGTGCGTCGGGGAACTCACGCAGCGACAGAAAATAAAACCCTCTCTCTTTTCCTCCGTACCCACATCTTTTAAAAACGGGTGTACAACGAGCGGATACAGATTCCATCCGAACTGACGTCAAATAGGCTTGTTTGAGACGCGTTGCGGCTCGCCTCGAAAGGGCTTCAAAAGAGGGGTTTGAGCAGTATGAGGCATGGCTACAATGGGTGAACTGTTTGGTATTTTGAAAAAAAAAGGTATGGCCCTACAATATATTTTTCAAATATAGCATGATAGGTCCACTTTAAATAAATATCATTACAGATGGCTCAGTTGTTTTAGCTGTTGAATCGTCTTAAGCGCAGTATGGATTTTACATCAAGAGTGTACACCAGTGACTGCCTTTACAACATTTTATTTCTCACATGTCTTGTTTGTGGAAAACGGAAATATCGGAAAACACACAGACAGTCAATTCTGTGTTGATATGAAAGGTATCTGCTTTTCAACAAGTGGTGGTTGGAAACATCTGTTTTTAGTGTTAAAGGAAGGATTTGCTTAAATTCAATTGAACCTTTCCAGCATTAACATAAGCACGTTATAGTAAAGCAGTGTTTGGTCTTTGGAAACTAAAACATAATGGAAATCTGAAGGAAATGCAGAGTCGTGCTAAAGAGCTGCTGACCTGCAGACATCAGAGACCGAAGTAGAGAGCTATACCCTCATTACTCTAATTAATGAGGAACAATTAATCAAATATTAAAGGCGATAACTATAAAGTGGTGCAGTGTGTTTTTGTAGGCTGACCCGAGAGTTAGCATAGCAAGGGCTCTCTCGACAAAAAGCCATGGAATTTTTCCGTGTAAAAGCTTCAGACATTTACCGGCAAAATGTCTTAAATGCTGACACATTCCTGGGTTTCGGACTCATTCCTGCACCACTTTATTTGGGCTTTTCATGATTGTATTAAAGTAAATTATGAACTAGGATATTGAGGTTTTAGATGCGGTTTTTTTAGAAGCAGATGGGCAGAACTAAAATGCCCAGGATTAAAGGTCACCTATCATGATATTTTTAGGCAATAGCATGGGTCTCAGATATATACAAATATATAAAAAAACATGTCTATGAAGTGTTTTGCTCAAAATACCAAACAGATCACCCATTCTAGCCATGCCTCATATCCCTCTATTTCACTTCCTGTTTCTAAAGTGCTGATTTGGGGTATAAAGCTTTAAAAAATGTATTTAAAAAAAAGGAGGGGTTGAGCTCATGCGGGACCCGGCAGCTACTGTCTAAACTAAATACTGCCGTGATGAAACGCCATATCATGGATTATCAAGGATTCTCTCTGAAACAGTTTGGAGCTCAAAGGCTTTCTCTCTTGCCGGTTATACCACAAGGTGAGTTCCTTTTTACTTCCTGCTTCTTCACACACATGCTCTCCAGTACAGGTTAGCTCTGAGTGTTAGCGATGCTAATGTAAACACCGACCATATTACGTCCAGAACAGTCGGGCATTGTTTCTGATAGCAACTTTCTGATAGGGCCGTGGGTCCACATTTCCGATACTACGTCATATCGGACGCAAATCTGGATCAGCTCCGTTGTACCCCCGTTTTTAGAGATTTGGGTACGGAGGAAAAGAGAGAGGGTTTTATTTTCTGACGCTGCGTGAGTTCCCTGACACACCGGGGACACATCTTTATGTATAAAAGACATAAAAAAGTGCATTTTGCATGATAGGTCCCCTTTAAGGTTAGAAAATAAAACATATTTAATTGTAAGTCTTATTTTGATTTTTTAATGGTGTTTACATTTGCACTGCCTGAAACTGTAGCAGTGCTCTGTTTATTTAAATTTGTATTGAAAGTTCAATTAGACTATTTTGTCCCTCATATCAATTAATAATCGTGATTTTAAGCCCTTACTTACTTACCAATGCAATTTTTTCAATCCTAATGATAAAATCAGGACATATTGATATAATGTCTATGCGGCTATGCAGGTGCTGATCATATTAGTAAGTATACAAGTATATATAAAGATACGGATGCAATTGATCAGGTTCAAAAAGTGGAAACCAGCTGACGGATAGGGATGGGTATCGTTTGAAATTTATCGATTCCGATTTCGATTCCGGTTCTGCTTATCGATTCCGGTTCTTATCGATTCCCCGTTTCGATTCCAAAATTGTAAAATAAAGAGGTCAAACGTTTAGATAACAAAAATATATTTATTCTTAAAAGCTTTAACTGAAATTGTTACTAAAAAATATACATGCAATACAAATGTATTGCACAATAGCTGTGATTTATTTTAACTGAGCTATGCCTGTGGCAAGCTATTAACAGGCATTACACTTTGCCTTTTCTTTTTCTTTTTTAGTGTAGTGGAGCCTCACTTCAGAGTGTTTACCGCGACCTATCTTTGGTGTTATGAAGTGACTGAGCTTGTGAAATGTCTACGGGAGGGCGGGGGAGCATCGCTGCGGGGCAACTGTGGACCTCTGTCGCCTGTCAGCGCAATTTATATGATGCCGTTTAAAAAAATGAAGGGCGGTGCCGGCCGTCAGCGTACCGAGCCGGCCGTCAACGGCCCGCTGACGACCGGCCGTTCTGTGATTCTCCAGGTCCGCCCTGTATTCCACCGGGTCACCGCAGTGCAGACGGACCCGCTGGAATACAGGGTCTACCGCGTTTAGGAACCGTTAAGCAGAACCGAAATTGTGTATTTTGTATGGGTACCCGGTACCCGGCATTTTCTTATCGGTTCTCATCTGGAACCGAGTTTCGGTTCCCAACCCTACTGACGGATGAGCTGTAACGGCCCGTCCACACAGCGGCGTGCGTTGAAAGCTTCACCATTCACTTTGAATGGGGTGATGTCACTTTTCGCCGAACTGCATTGCGGGAAGCGAAGCAGAGCTTTGCTGGCGTGGCTCGCTGCAAAAGTTGAGCAATGTTCAACTTTTGACGCCTCCGCAGAAGCGTCAGCCAATCGAATCATATGCCAGTACAAGCTCTAGCCAATCAAACCGCTGCTTGTGTGTCAGGGGCGGGAGATTCATGTGATTGGTTGTTGGTCGAGTCTCAGACACGCACGCCGGCAAGCTTCAACGCACGCCGCTGTGTGGACGGGACGTAACAGTACCCAAAGACGCATTACACTTTAGCACTTGTTGCTTTAAATTAGACTAAAGTCCAACTGGAGCCTAATAATATCTACATATTATTATTAAATGCTTTCATTTGCTCCTCATTAGCCTAACGAGGACTTCTCGAATCAACATATTCTCCTGTCTATAGACATTAGTCATAGCTTAATGATTTGTTTGCCACAGTATCACAGTGGCACGTCATTAAAAAAGCCCACAGAGACACAAATATGTAAAAAGCTATCAGCATGCGGTTGAGAGGTCATCAAAATGCTGTTTGAACTAGAGGAAAGGTGTGTGAGCTGTGTTGGTGTGTTTGAATAGGTTAAAAACATCACCTCCAGCTAATGAAGTGTAATAACTCTGCGCTCATGTTGATGCTCATTTGCATTCAAGATGCAGCCGTGAAGTGAAGTCAATCTTCTCCAGTACACTGGGCAATACTACACCATCTGCTTATAGTAATGATACACTACTATATATCCACACATATTAGATAAGATGAATTAACTTTGCATTTATATAGCACTTTCCAAGATAATCAAAAACACTTAACAATGAAAACATTTAATAAAAGCATACAATGAAACAGACATACAAACATTTAAACACATGATGTAATGATATGGATAATGAACCCACATTTGGTTTATTAATGATGCCTCCATAATGGGAAGTCAACAAAGAAACATTTGCCCAAAAATATTTTAATGTTCGAATGAATATAAAAAAATTATGTTGAGGAAATAATGACGTATGGGATCATTTTAAACATTATAGATACCATCCTTTAAAGTGAATAATAATTAGAAAATATTTCATTTATATAGCACTCGTGCTTTCTTTAGATACCATCTCTTTACGTATTAGTGATGGGAATTCCGGCTCCTTTTAGTGAGCCCGATCATTTGGCTCGGCTCACTAATGGCGCGTTTCCACTGCAGCGGGTAGCTCACTTTAAGCGTGCCGAGCCGTGCGGGGCCCGTTTTTGGTTGCGTTTCCACTTGGCCTAGTACCGGCTAGCGGGTCCTTATTCACAGTTTTTCTGGCCCCATAAAATCGTGGTTCTAGGGCCAGGAACAACCAGGCTGAGTCGGGCTGAGTATGCTAAACTAGAGAGAGAATCGCTGGCAAGGGGGCTACAACTACAACAAGATGAACATATTTGACCGTAATTTAATTGTAATACACGTTTCAAAATGATGCCGAAGTAACAACATACTGATACCGGTTAGTAAAAACCATGAATTAATGCTTTGACAAGTCTGCAGACAGACGGCAGGCGAAAAACCCTTTTAAAATGCGTGTTTTCTAAATGGAGCTTGGCTAAGCTAACATTATATATGCTCCGACCGTCCACACTCACAACGGCCTATACAGACATAAACAAACCAGCGACTGTATTCTCCATGACACAGGCAGTCTGTGATTTGTACTTGTTTAACTTTTGTCTAGTTTCTGAACAGATATGAGGAGCTGTGAGCTCTGAGTGCTAAGAGATAACGGCTGTGTTGTTTTTCTGGGGCTCTCATTGAAGATGACGTCACGGCTCCGCCTACCCTGCGTTACTATAGTAACTACCCCAGTTCCTAAACTGTAATGGAAGCGCAGCATTAAAGTGAGCCGGGCCTAATAAGGCCTAACCAAACCGAGCGAGGCCTGCAGTGGAAACGCCATTATACCTCATTCACATCAACGGTGTTTCAGGGCCGGTTCGGAGCTGGAGCTTTCCTGTTCACACCGCAGCGGAGCAGCCTCTTAGCTCCGGAATCCAGTTTGTTTCAAGCACCAAAAAATTGTCCGGCTAGAGCAAAAGCACCGCATACGCCACGCTTACGTCGAGGCGGGGGCAGGGGGAATCGGAATCGTCGTTTAAGTTGATGATTACGATTGTAAAGCAGTTTTGAATGTAGCATGTAACGACTGTAAAGTTGGTAGTAAAGTCGTCCCATTTCTTCCATTTCGTTTCGACAGAGCGAAACCAAAACGAGTAGCGCTTCAACACAATCGGCCATTGTTGTTGTTGTCGGTGTGAGCTGTGAGGGGTTTCCGCGCGGTTTGGCTTTATGAAGCAGGCACGCAAACGGTTCGCAGTTCAGGACCCTGGGCGGTGTGAAAAGAGCCGGAGCTAAACCGAAGAACCCCCCCCCCCCCGTCAAGGCTCGCCGGCAGTACACTTTCCGTCACAAGAACATGCTTTGCTGGTGGAGAAAAGAATCCCACCAGACTCCTTTCCATCCTTGTCCTTTTTCCTTTTCGTCATCAAAACTTAAAAAAGCAATAAAAACTCGATCTTCTCTCAAATTATTTATTTTTTTGGACGCCCTCGGCTCGAGTTCAGGGCGTTCCGAGCTGAATAAGAGCGTCAAATGACGGCAAGACGCCCCCCTGGCGGAAACGCTGCACTCATGTAAGTATTCAAAGACTCTTTATAATAAAAAACATTGAATTAAAGTATTCAAACAAAAACAAATGTAAAAACAAGATGTGATTAAATGGATAATAAAGACAGACAAATATTAGTGATGCCTCCAATAATGGGAAGATATATAGCTCTGCAATTATATAAAAATGTGTATTGACAATCTGCATTTAATGTGGATAAAATATGGAAACTATGGTATAGTTGGATGTATTATTGTGTTTCCTTTTTATACAGAGCTCATTTTGAGCCAGGCTGTCCATTCTGTTTTATAGCAGAAACATTGGAACATTTAGTGGTGTCCTGTCCCCGATTGGCTAGTCTTAAAAATGTTTTACAGGAGTGGGTGGAAGGGTTGGGTGGAGGTTTTCTCCATACCACTTTTTGTCCATGGCCCCAAATACACCCTGAAAAGTAAGAAAACTCTAGTATTTGATACATTTCTTGTTTGCTAATGCAAAATTAGCGATCTGTAAAAGTATAAAGAACCAACTTGCTGGAGTGGGATGGACGGATGCAGTGCTCTGTCTGAGGGGGCTGGTGTCAGCGTGTCTGAGGGTGGAGCATGCGTACTACCCGCTGATCTGTTGGGCAGGTTCAGTGCTCACTGGGGGAGAATGACTCTCTAGTATTGAAGTTTTAAAAGATAGATGTCGTTTTTGTTTTTAAAGTGTGTAAACGAGGATGTTTTTAAATGGGTACAATGTTTCAAATGATATTTATTTTATTTGAAATTGGAATGTATTAGGGTTTTCCCAACTCTTTTGCAGGGTGTGTGTATAGTTAAAACAAATGTAAATAAAATTGTGTTTTAAAATCTTCTGCTGTGTGAAAAGCTGTAGTGCTAACAGTAGTGTAGTGCTCCACGCTCCACTGCTCTGTACTCTGCTGTTGCGCGGATGATATCAGGAACCCTTCCCTACTCTCACTATCTCCCTCTTTTTTCCCTTGATGCTTTGCTTTAGTAGCAGTAGGAAACATTGGAGCTCCTCTTCTCTACTTTTCCACTGCTTTCCCCCACTTTCAGAGATGGCAAAAGTACACACATCCTTTACTCAAGTAGAAGATCAGATACTCGTGTTTAAAAATACTCTGGTGAAAGTAGAAGTACTGACTAAACTTCTTTACTCAAGTAAAAGTACAGAAGCATGGGCTTTGAAATGTACTAAATATGGAGTGTGGACTGCTACTTGGAGAGGTCCCAGTTCACCTCCTGTCCTGCCGTGGTGCCCTTGAGCAAGGCACCCTCTCACTCCCATTGCTCCCCGGGCGCTGTATAATAGCTCCTAGTACTAGACTCCTGGTACTAGGATGGGTTAAAAGCAGAGAACACATTTCAGTGCGTGTGCTGTGTGCTCTGCATGTGTGACCATTAAAGAGGGTTTCATCCCTCCCAATTATATCTATTTACTCAAGTGCTTTACTTAATTCTTACTATTTAAAAACATTTTACAATTCAATTTTCTCAAATGTGAAGATTGCTGCTTTTCCTTGGAAACATTTTATATATTTTTCCTGTTGATACTGATCATTCTCAATGCAGTACTTTTACTTGATATGGAGTATTTGTACAGTTTAGTTTAAGCACTTTACTTAAATAAAGGATCTGAATTATTTTTCGTCCACTGATAGAAAGATATTAATCCATATCTAATATACCTAATAAGTTATAATACAGTGTAATAGACCATCTACTAATAGAAAATAGAAACCAATCTACTATACTATATCTAAATATTGTACAAGTGTGCAGAATGGTTGCCGTTTATATTTAAAATGCAATAAACTGGAATAAAAAAAATCAAAAATTGTGGGGGGAAAAAGTTGAATCTGGTTTTAAAAGAAATAATAAAGTAACTATAAAGCGGTTTTCACACATTTTCCATGACTTGCAGTGATCTGACTTTTAAGAGCTGGGATATTTATTTTTTTCAGTGTATACTTGACTTCTCTCTGATGTTTTCGCCCCACTGTGTCTCCTCAGAAGCACGAGCTGTTGCTGAGAGCTTCAGTGAACTGTCTGGGCTCGCTGCTGGGCTTCCTGCAGAGGAGGAGTCCCTCCACAGGTACAGATCGACAGCTCAGGCTAATGGGGAGTGAAGGTTACCTGCAAATGTATATACAGATCAAAGAGGGCGCGTAGAAGATCAAATATTGCTAACTTTCCTGTTCCTTATGTACATATTCCACAAAGTCCCACAGGAGATTACTGATGCCAAAGCTCCATTTAAAGTTACTTCTTGCTATGAACAGATCAGATCGATGGATTTTATGGCACAGGATACACAGTTATACTCAGAAAATGTTCCCAAGACCACCTCCAAATGTTATTGTTTCCAACCAACACCATTTTCAGAGATTTAGTGAACACAGCTTCACTTTTTCTTAAAATGTTTCTGACGTCTAGATGGCAAGGGATAGGCTGAGTTTATTTGCTATGGTACTTGACAGCGGTCTGTATGGTACTATCAGGTTTTTAAATCTGCTAGGGTTAAGACTCTTGTAAATCATATTGAATAGTTATGGTTTGGATTATTTCAAGTTTATATAGTTGCATGTTTATATGCTGTTCTAAGTTTCTATTTTCATGATTTATTGCACTTATTGGATAATGTAATGTAAAAACCAAACAAAAAAAACCATGGCTATCCATTTTCTAACGGCCCGTCCACACAGCGGCGTGCGTTGAAAGCTTCACCATTCACTTTGAATGGGGTGACGTCAGTTTTTGCCGAACTGCATTGTGGGAAGCGACGCGGAGCTTTGCTGGCGTGGCTCGCGGCAAAAGTTGAGCAATGTTCAACTTTTGAAGCCTTGGCAGAAGCGTCAGCCAATCGAATCATATGCCAGTACAAGCTCTAGCCAATCAAACCGCTGCTTGTGTGTCAGGGGCGGGAGATTCATGTGATTGGTTGTTGGTCGAGTTTCAGACACGCCCGCCGGCAAGCTTCAACGCACGCCGCTGTGTGGACGGGCCGTAAGTCTGGTGAAAATAGAGCGTGATTAAACTGAATTGATCCGAACGAGGCCTCCTGACTTTCTTTGCGGATGAATATGTGTTTTAGCGAAGTTCGTGGTGTGTCAGCAGTGGAATCGGTTCCTCGTCTACTGCCTGCTCAGCTCAGGAGAGAGCTACCGTCTGCACCCCGTGGTCCACAAACTCATCACCATCGTAAGAGCTTTTACACACACACGCAAACACAGACACACACACACCTATACACACAGACACACACACACACACAGAAACAAACACACAGACACACAAAAACACACACAGACACATGCAAACACACACACACTCAAATCAAGTATAATTTATTGGGCATGGTTCCGAGCTGTAATAAATATTTGATATCAAAATCGTAAAACTTTAATGAAGGTAATAAAAACATTAAAGTATTTGGATCGCATGAGTAATGAAAGTGTATATATGCAGGTCAACACAGATGGGAATTAAAGGAACATTTCCATATTCTGTGTTTCATTTATCATCAAATAAATAAAAGAAAATCTGACGTGACTGGGCAAAATATTGATATAACAATAAAATATAATATTTATATTAATAATAACATAAGTACATTATGTAATTACTTTTTTCAATTAGTATGTATTTCTAATAAATAAAACAAAAAACATTTTATTTGCAAGGCACGGTTCACAACACTGTTTTAATATCTTTACAAATATGTAGCAGATTTAATTGAACTCTTCATTATCCACATTATTCAATTCCTTTAAAACGATGACATGTTTATTTTAGACTTTCTCTTTATTTCTACCTTCTTGTCCTTCTTTTAACTTTTCTCACTCTCCTCTCCCTGTGTCTGTTAATGGTGTGTGTGTGTGTGTGTGTGTCTGTGTGTGTGTGTGTGGGGGGGGGGGTGGGTGGTCTGGTCGGTGTGTGTGTGTGTATCTGTGTGTGTGTGTGTATCTGTGTGTGCAGCTCCTGAAGCACGGCAACAGTGCGGCGGTGCTGTGGGAGCCTGACCTGCTGTGGGTGATGGAGGCGGTGGAGTTGAGGGGGGTGAAGGAGCTCAGCGAGGAGGCAACACAGAGCCTCAGGCTGCTGCTCACTCAGGTACACACACACACACACACACACACACACACACACACACACACACACACACACACACACACACACACACACACACACACACACACACAGAGATCAAACATTGGACACATTTGTGGATTTTTAGGATAGACTTTTATCATGCTGCTACCTTGCTATCTTTATTCCTTGAATACATTAATTAGAAAGGAAATAAAGGCAGACAAAGTTTAGTGTTAGTTGGAGTCGTGCTGTTTTTCTCTCTTCGTGCTGTTCTTCACAAAGAAGAGCCTTTAGATGGGGACCAGGCTTGTTTATGCAAATAAAACTTAAACCATAGTTTATGCAATTGTAAGACGTAAATGCAAAAATGCACCATTCTGTGACTCATGTGCATCCTCCAATGTACCCTAGTGATTTAATCTACACTGATGTACATCAAGGTCACATGACTTCATGTCAACACTGCTGCTAAGCTAAAGGCGGCTAATGTTCAGCGTGATGATGTTTAGTCGTCTCATTTAGACACATGTTAGCAACCACCTTTTTCTGGTAGAAGTAGAAGCTCCAGACTTCCAGCAGTGGAGTATTTACTGATGTGTTTTATGTCGTAGAACAAAACGTAAACATCTCTTCAGCTTCTATTAACCACAGACCTTATTTCAGGCATCTAACCAAAAACAGGTTCAGAAAACCATTGACTTTGGGCCAAGCGAACCAGAAGTGGTAAAATGCTGACTCATTTATCGGTTTTAGGACTCATTCCTGCACCACTCTGTTAGCAAAAGCAGTGGTTTCAGGTTTAAGAAGGAATGGATCCCAGGTGTGCTTCCTACCTATCGTCTGGAGCTGATGCCTCTTAAGGTCCTTCAAGCCGATTTCGGCCGTTGATAGATGTCGGGCCGTCGATGAGCGTCCTGTCGCCCTACTCAGATTGGTGTGCCCCGTCGTGTCTTTTCGGCCGTGCCGACACCTTCCGCCGCCGATTCAACATGTTGAATCGGGAGGCCAAAGAAATCACTCTGATTGGCTGTTCAGCTTAGCGAATCAGTGCATGAGAAGCGAAACGGAAGTGAGGGACCCAAACAAACTATTAACAGGGTTCGTACGGGTGCTTGAAATCCTTGAAAATGCTTGAAATTTGACTTGGTGTTTTCAAGGTTGGGAAAGTGCTTGAATTTTGGGAAGGGTGCTTGAAATTGAGATAAAGTGCTTGAAAATGTAAATGCTTTACTTTTACAATAAATTGCTGTCTGACTGAATAGTTCGCTTTTTAGATTAAAAGAAAAGAATTGCTTCGCTTCTACATAAAACAGCTCCGCTGCACCTTCCCGCGCTATGCGCGCGACCTGCAAGTGTTTGTGTTACGTGTGACCTGGGCATTCTGATGAGTGATAGATGACTGTATGCCAGGAGGTTGCCGTTTCAACGAGCGTTGGCTAGCAGAAGACAAATACAAGCCATGGCTAAGACGAGGGTCAAGCCCACGAGTAGCCTCCTGCAAAGTTTGCAAACATATCGATGCGAGAGTCTGCGCTGACGAGCCACATGAAAGGTACGCCGGAGTAGAGCATTTTAGATTAGGCTAACGTTGCATGTTACGTTTGTTTAAGCTAACGTTAGCGAGCTGAATAGCGAACTCGATTGAGGGATAATAATAATTGCAGGGGACAATCATTTCAGAGGAGCGTACCTATGTTAATATGTGCGTTACAGTCGCCATCCTGTGGTCTTCAGAGGATGAAGCACTCACGGCATTTCGTGTTATAGTCACGAAATATAATTATTGATTCGACACAGAGCGATTTTGAAAGCAATGTATTTCTACTGGTAGTATGTTTCGTGCCTAAACCAAATGTGAGTTACATTGACCCGAAGACACATTTTCGTTTGTATTACTGGTCTGGGGGAAGCTCGCGAGTGTGTTTGTGTATTTTTTTAGTGCTGTCAAAATTATCGCGTTAACGGCGGTAATTAATTTTTTTAATTAATTGCGTTAAAATATTTAACGCATTTAACGCATGTGCAGAATGGCCCGCCCCATACATCCCACCAGTGGCAGCGCCAGGGTATGGCTGGGGTAGGCTACACCCATGCCAATAAATGGCTTAGCCCCACCATGAAAAATGATGTTAAAGTAAGCAAAAATAAAGTCTGCCAACTCGCGCGGAGTAAATTGCACAGACAGCAGTTAGTAAGATTGATTTCAGTAGCCACGGTTTTGAAAACTTTTGTCACGTAGTGATTGTCTTCTCAATAGAACATCTTTGATAACGGCGTGGTGTTGTTGCAGGAAGTCCCGACCGAGAATACTTTTGCTGTAGTACAGGGGTGCACATAACTGGTACGCAGGTTATGTGCGTAATCTGAAATGCGTACCGTCACTTGTGTCACAAAGCGCATTTGCGTACCGACGTACTTGTGAAGCTTTTCCAGAAGGCGGTTAGATCACCGGACGACAGAGTCGGTCTCCGTGTGCACAGACAGGGCTGCTGTTAACGTCGGTCTGTACAACGGAATTGTGCCAAAACTACGCCAACCGGCTGCGGAGGGAGACTCCCCCCCCCCCCCCCCCCCCCCTTCACTGGAGAACTGCGCTAAAACAGCTGATCACAACGTTCACACTCTGTGGTCACGAAGTACTCCACGAGCCGCCGCCCCCCCTCTGTCGACTTTCCTGAAGTACTCCCCGTTGATAGAAATCAACACGTCATGAATTAAGACCCCACGGTTTGATGATTGATAGGTGTGTGGGTTGTCTTTCATTTTGACACGCAGAAAATGTTATAATAAACATACATACTGTATGTTAAATGGATATATCCACCTTCTTTCATTTATCTTTCCATTCCCACAACAATATACATAAATAAATGGCATATTTTGGAAAATAGTTCGAATGGTGATTAATCATGATTAATTAATTTTTAAGCTGTGATTAATCTGATTAAAAATTGTAATCGTTTGACAGCCCTAGTATTTTTGCGTTTGTGTACCGGGGAAACACTCACAAGAAACACCGGCGGCTGTTATGCCTGCTGTGACGTTACATTACTCTGTTCTCTGCTTGTAATTATGTCAGGTGTCTTGAGTAGTCAAAATTACCTACAAATCATTGTACACATTTGTAAATATTATTTTCCACTTGTTTCCATTGTGAGTCTATTTTTATGCAGCTCTGCGTGATTTTGTGGCTACAATTCAGGCTAATACGCTACCAGAGGTGGAATAAGTACTCAGATCTTGTACTTAGTAAAAGTAGAAGTCCTCAGATCTTGTACTTAGTAAAAGTAGAAGTACTCAGATCTTGTACTTGAGTAAAAGTAGAAGTACTCAGATCTTGTACTTGAGTAAAAGTAGAAGTACTCAGATCTTGTACTTAGTAAAAGTAGAAGTACTAAGATCTTGTACTTGAGTAAAAGTAGAAGTACCAGAGTGTAGGAATACTCTGTTTCAGTAAAAGTCCTGCATTCAAAAATGTTCCTCAAGTGAAAGTATAAAAGTATTCTCATCAAAATATAGTGAAAGTAGCGACAGTAAAAGTAGTCATTGTGCAGATTGGTCCATTTCAGAATAATATATATGATATGTTTTATAATGATTGATCATCAAAGTGTTCTCTGTTTGAATGACTTTGTATACTGCAGGGTAGCTTGTGAATTTACTCCAGGTGGAACTAAAGTCTGATTCAACACTTGATTATATTTCACATCATTCATCCAGATCTGTGAAGTAACTATAGGTATTAAATACATGTAGTGGAGTAAAAGTACACCATGTACCTCTGACTTATGTTTACTGCCAACCTAAAAGTACCTCAAAAATAGTAATCAATAATGTATTGAAAAGTTATTTGGCTGATTGTTTTATATCGGATCAGACAGGTTATATGGGAGGCCTAGTCTATGTACAGATCACTCATTTTTAAATATTAAACTTAGTTTTATTTTCTTTAATTTTTCATCCTCGTGTAGAATGCTATCACGAAACACACATTTGGTTGTTTATAGCATAAAGAACATCTGATTTAATGTGAGGTAGAGAAATAATCATTTGAGTATGTGTATATAAATATGTAATTTACAACAGCTGTAAGATGCTTGAAAAGCTGGAAAATGCACCTTGAAAATGCTTGAAAAGTGCTTGAATTTGACTTTGGAAAAGGTGTAAGAACCCTGTATTAAGAAGGCAAATCTGAGATGTCATTGAACTCCAGCTCTCGACACAGGTTCGGGAAAGCCCCGTGAGCTTCTCGCTGTAGAGTGAAAATGGAACGCACACGCGATTTGTTGTTTGTTTATATCACGCAGTCTGTTCTTCTTCTCTCGGTTATCACGCAGTCTGTCTTCCGGTTGTTGCCTCTTTTGAATGACGAATACACACTACCGCCACCTGCTGGTAAGGAGAGTTATTGCCACTCACGCATGCGCAGTTCGTACGTGCCACTTGGCCGTCGGCTGAAGTCTTTGCGGTGTGTTCCAGTGCGACACATGGCCAAGACGCAGAGACGCGAGGCGACGCAACAGTCGTGTTCCGTCGGGACGTGTTCTTTGGTGTCAGTTTGGTGTGTAGGCCCCTTTACACACACACACGCATATTTTGCCTTTAATCAGACCCCATCAGCCTCTCACTTCTCCACACACCACTTACACTCTTACCATTAATGATCTCCCTAACACACACAAAGCAGAGAGCTACTGCTCTCTAGTCGAGCTTGTGATTAGCATTAACTCAGTAACCCCGGCAGTATCCAGACTCATTGGTCACGTCGGCACTAATGACTCCTCATCTGTGTTGTCACGGAAACTGGAGACTGAATATAAATTCCTAATTTACCTCCATGATCATCGCAGGCACTCGTTTTAATTGTGTCTGGACACTATAATAAATGACATGTCAGTTAGAGAGGATGTTGCTGTGCTCTATATACACCATGAGCAGGTGGAGAGATACCTGCATGAGAAACACATTAGCTTTTAACCTTAGATCATTTATGAACATGGTAAAACAAATAGATTAGATGA